TGGCTCGAGGGTGCCCCCCCCCCCCCCCCCCCCTTTTTTTTTTTTAATATGGTCTGCGGATAATTTTAGCCAGTTTCCTCTTTGTGGATTATTAATCTGCTTTCCTTGTAGAACCTACATAGCTGCGTCCCTACTGTTCTGCTGAAGTCAACAGATGGCCTCCCCGCCGCTTCCTCTCGTTTCGCTGTGGGTTTGTTGTCAGGCCACTTCTGAAATTAATAGTGTTTTCTGGCCGGCTGCCACAGGCCATTACCACAAAGGGGAAGTAACACATCTGAATAGCAGGAAGCCGGGCAGGGTCACGGCGTGAACTGAACCTGTTGAGCGCAATCGGGCCTCTCCCGTTCAGCAAGTGTAGGGCTCCTCATCCCTCCCCCTTTTTCATACGCCTTGCACAGAGAAAAGGCTGATGCCGAACGCCTCAGCTGTTTGCACCGGGCAAATATTTCCGGCTGAATGAGTTGCGAATGTTAATTGTGACTAGGTGCCCGTTAAGGTGAGGAGGCAAAGAGCAGCGTGCAGCGGCGCAGCCCAGGGGAGGAGGGCCTTGGCTCTCTTTGCTTCCTTGTCCCAAAAATGATGAATTGCAGAAGTACCCATTTGGTGTCAGGCACCGGTGAAGCAGGAAGGAAGCAGGAAGCCCTTGTGAGCACTAACTTTTCAAAGCAGCTTGCAAAGATGACCAGCTTTGCTCAGACACACACACACATACAGCAGAGTTGGGCAGAAAACTTGTTCCAGACTTTTCCTCGAGCAAGGCCTGAACCAGGGCTGTTAGTCAGAAAACTTGTCTGAACTTGAGCCAGCTCTGGGCGAGAACAACTTCGGTCACAGGCAAACCCAAACCAGAACTGGAGCCAAACCAAAACCTGGTTCAACCTCTGATTTTGCCGGGGGTGTTCACACTCGCTCATGCGCCAGCTCTTAATTACAAATGGTTTGGAAGGAAAAGAGGTGAGGGCTTTCACCAGCAATGTTCACCCTCCCTAGACAGGCTCCTGGGTTACTCTGCCCCAGCACGGTGCAGGGAAAGGCTCATGCTACACAAGCATTTGCCAGCTTTTCTGAGGCCAGGCTCTGCTTGCTCCTGCAGCCCCACCAGCACTTGTTCCAAAATAACTCGCTTCCCCTCTCCCCTGCCTCGTTTTAGTCCTTGCTGGGATGGGGCAGAGGTCTCAGGCTTCTGGGGGGTTTGGCAGCTATTGCAGTTCCTCAGCTGGTAAAGTAATTTGTAAAGGGAAGAATAAGTCCTTTGTGCCTGTAGGGACAGGCCTGATGTATATAGAGGGAAGAGAGGGAATACCACTCCCACTCCCCAATCTTTGCGGCTGAAAAAATCGCAACCTGCTTCATATTAGAATGTAGGAGTGAGAGGTACTGAATTCCTTCAGAAGCTATGGAGGTATTAGGAAGGAAAATCGTACCCTCAGGAGCGATCAGAGCTTTCTCATGCGACCCGTCGGTGCTTTTAACACAAAGGGTGAAGTCGTGTCCTGTGGCATCCATCCCCCCTTTGCTCTGGTAAGGCCAAGGTTCCCCTCAGTGTTTGGGTACACAGTAGCACTTTGCTTTCTATTTTCTGAGCAATAACATCGTGTAGCTCACTGTGCTGGTTCCCCTTCTTGCATTTCCTCTTTCCTGCTTACGCCCTTTCAAACCACTCTATGGCCACCTTCAGAGTACCTTCCAACTCTTTCTTTTTTGTTGTTGTGGTTGTAGCCGTAATTTTCTTTTTCCCCATTCTCTTTCTTGTCCTTTTGTAATGCTGCTCTTCCCCCTGTGCCTTCGGTTCTTCCACAGACCTTTTCCTAAACTCCATGGCTCATCCTTTCTTCTCTCATTTTCTTGCCTTGTCTTTTTGTTCCCTGTTACTCTCTTCCTGTTTGTCTCATGTATCCTCAATCAACTCAATTTCTCCCAGCCTTAAGCCTCCCTACTCCTCTTTGTTTTCACAGTGAAAAACAGGGTGAGTTCTCGTAGAGTCGGTCAGTTCAAATGAGCTGTAGGAAAGATGTATATGAGAGGAAGAAGTAAGAAGATACCACTGCTGTCCTCTTGCCGCTTCCTAGCAGATGACCTTGTTCCCCATCTCCATTCCCCATCGCTGGGTGGATTTGGCTCTGCATGGTTTCCCTGGGTCCTCTCTGTATGGCACCCAGCACTCTGCTGCGGCCAACAGGGAAGGCAGGCGTGAGGAAGCAGCTTTTCCTCAGGGCCCACCCAGTGTCACGGGGCACTAACCCCCCCTCCGACAAGTGGGGAATAAAGTGGGAACAGACTGAAAATGTGGCCGCCAAAGGCAGCTCTGCTAGAAAAACTGAAACCAGGCTTAACAATCGTGTGTCTGGAGAGCGTTTCTTCAGCTTCTCTGAAAGGCTTAGCCAAAAATTTTTCCCTGTTGAGAAGCACGATGACACTTTATTCGGAGCTCCAGGAAAAAGAATTGCACGTGAACATTTAAACGAGGCTACAGCTTAGGCCCTCTCTCCACACCGCTATAAATCACCAAAAGCTTTGCCTGAGTGAAGGTGGTGGAACAAATCGCTAAGCTCAGTTCAGTGCCCCCCTGGACCTTGGGTGTGCATGTTCAGCATTGCTCAGTTACCCCAGGAGCACAAGCACGGGGCAGGGCCCCTCCATCACGCAGCAGCGCATGTGAGTGACTGCCGGGACTCCAGCGAGATGCTGCATTCAAGGAAAGTGGCTCAGTTTGCTCCAAACACCTCATAGACAAAGGGGAATAAAGGCTATCCGCCGGTGTTTTCTCATGGCATGTGGTGACATTGGGGTGTATACGGACTCTGCCCTTTCCCCCCGCCTCCCCAACATCCAGAAACGGAGGGTGCTGCATCATGCGTCTCCTTTCTTCATTGCCAAGTTTGAGAGGTAAGAATGTGCTGTGACTTACTAGACAGGGCAGGCAGAAAGCTGGTATGGGAACTGCTCCCTTTTGAGTAAAGTGCTTGTCTCTGTAAGGAAAGGAAAAAACCGTGTTAGATGCTTTGTTGTTTGTTATCGTAGGGATCTGCAAGCGCCGAGGGAATTTCGGAGTGCTCACAGCCATAGCTTTTCCTCATAAGGCAAAGATGAAGGATGTTGACTTACCACAAACACAAGGAGATGATTATCAGATGGAAAGTGGGGGTATGGAGTCTGTTTAGGAAATATTTCTTAATGACAGAAGTTGCATTCAGGACTATATTTGAGAGATGCAACGGAACGTGCGCCCTGCGCTACTTCACAGCTGCGATCCCCAGGACGCAGGAAGCGTGCAGAAATGCTGGCTCCCATCCCGCGGCCGTTCCAGCACTGCAGATACGAGCGACATAAAATGATACTACGTGGGAGGTCTGTTTACCATAATGTGGAGACCACGGTGAAGCACTTTGCTCATTTCACTGGAGGCACAAGTGTTTTGGAAAGTTCTGCTGCTGAGATCTTCCACCTTCCCAAATGGGCAATGTCCTTGCTTAACTTCAAGATTTTTATTTTAATAAACTTCTCTGTTTTTCTGTTAAAGCCATGTTTTAGGGCATTACGGAAGTCTCTTTTTTCATCTTTTTTTCCT